CGACAGCGGAAGTCACATGACGTGCGTGATGAGTTTCTCGAACGATTGGGGAAGTCCGAGTGTGTTAGAGACGCCCTCTTTGTTAGTATATAAGCCTGGCAGAGGAAAGCCAGCAGAAATGAATGAATAGAGAGCAGTAGTTACTTTGAGTTCCGTGTAATTGATGATTCTGTTAGTTTCGAGCTAGTGAGCCATAAAATGTGTTTTGCATTCGTCGAGAGCGAAGTTATTGAGATTGTGAATCACTGTGATTTATAGCGTGTATTATAAAAGTTGTTAAGTTTAAAGTGACAAGAAACGTACTGATTGTTGAACTACTGTGTACTAAAAGTTTGTATCGAGGAAGAATAAACTGGTTTAATCAAGAAAGGATTTGTATTGCTGAAGATCCTCGGAAAGAATTTCTACCAGAAACAAACAAACAAGCAGATACGTAACAATATTAACTGAAGAAAACACTCACTTGTACAAGTACCTGTGAAACTGGGACACCTTTAAGATGGTCTTGCTTTACCATAGAGACTAAACAGACACAGGGCCAAACTGGAACAAGCATGAGACAGCCATTGCCATATGTAGCCTTTATCTTAAAAATGTATTAATATATGTTTCAACCTCTGGACTAATTATGGAAGGGTGAAATTAACAGTTATTTGAACTTTGACATGTGAATAAACTGAGTCTACACTAGTTATTATCCACCCAAATTAACGTAACTCGTTTCACTTTGTTCCATCATTGACTTATCTGGGCTGAGAGTGCTGACATAGCTCAAATCTAAATGCAGCACTTAGCTCATCAAAAACATCCAATACAAGAAAATTTGTTTCATGTTTATCGGGATGTGGTTTCTCATAGTAGTTTTAATTGTGAAAATGTAGATTACTGATAGTGAAATTTATGCACTGTAATGTGGTACCACATTTGAGTTACATTCTTCATGATATAAATCACAATAATTGCAATGCTGTTAATTTTTTCTTTGTGTATATACAAACTCATATCTACTCTTAAACACTTAAATCATAGCAAACTGTATTAAATTCCTCCAAAACAACAACCAGTTTTTTCAACCATTTAAAGTCAAATTTCTCTGAGTATTCACAAGTAAAATTTACCTTCAATATCTTCTTATGGTAGAATATTGCACAACTTGTTTTCAAACTATTCAAAATGGTTTACTGTAAAGTCAAATATTTATTGTGATTATGAATTTATATATGTTGCTAATAATGTGATTATGCATTTATAAACTGACTTAGAGAATAATGTAGTAAATAATTAACCACAAATTAGCTTGTCCACAGATAATCTTTTAAATTTATTACATGTGGTTGTAATTCAAAGGTACCTGTTTGATAAGTAAATATCAAATGATGAATATGGAGAGAGAGGATTTTGACTTCTTGGCTTGGCCTTACAAAAGATTTCATTAATTAGGAAACTTAATATGAAAAATAGTATCAATATATTACTTTAGAAAGGAGTATAGTTTTATATATTTGCTCTACTTCACTGGTTATTGGAGAGAAAAAAATAGATTCAAATCCTTGTCTAATATTTGAACATTAGAACATCAGGTTTATGATTTATCCATTATCCTTGTCCTCAGTTCTACCCATATTTTTCACTTAAGGGCTCTGAAAACTTCTACAAGGGATAAAGGAGACATGTTTATAATAGCTTGAATGTGCAAGAAAACCTGACTTTGAAAACATCAAGACATAAGTTCTTTCATAGTCATAGAAGAAAGGCATACACCCCTATACTAGACATTGCCTGTCTTGTTGTTTTCCTTTTTTTTATGTAAGAGTGAAATTCACACAAACACTAATGATTAAAGACTGAAAGTAAAATTTCAGGAATATCATATTTATTTACTACTCTTAAAAGCAACCTTGACATTAGTTTTAACTTATCTAATTCCTCATGATTTACTAGTCCTCTACTCCAATACCATTATCTATGGTGTATTGTTGAAAGAAAAGGATGAAACAAAACAAGTAACTGCATGCTTAAGTAAATCCATGTGTTCATCAGAATGTGATACTTTTATATCTGGAAAGAGCTACTGAGCATGTACTGTTAATGTTTAGAATAATTTAAGTACAATTATGGGTAATATACCTACTGGCTATATGTTATATATAACCACCCTAATTATTTTTCCAACATATACAAGGAAAAATAATTTTTTGGCATTCCTAATCCAAATGGCAAAATGATGATTTTCCATAATAATATATTTTATTTAGAAAAATAAAAATATTAGTGAATTTTTAAGAAGATCATAGCGTAACTTTGGTTGTAGGTTTTGTGTGTGGTATGATACTCAGTGTGATCGAAGATTGAAGAAAAGTGCATTTAGAGGACAGTAATGAACTGTGAATTAAGGTTATTTAGGATTAAAATTCTAATAATGAGGCTATCATTAAACGTGAAACTAGCAATATATGTTGGCAGGCAGTAGCTCCCTACAATAAGCTGTATTAGTCTCAGTGACATTCACTATGTGACAATATCCTGTACCAAAAATGGCAAGGCACCACAAGGAATAATTACAGTTGACATTACATGCATCAAGATTGTTTCAGTATGATGCTCTTTATGATATACATAATCCTTTTTTTTTTATGAGCTGTATGTTTTGCAAACATGAATAGTTTTTTTTAAAAGATTTCTGTTAAATATCAGTGAGCCATAGAAGTGTGCTAATCTCAAAGCATCTAAATAATATAGAGACCCCAGTGGAATCAGTGCTATTGATTACAACATTATAGTGCTGAATCACATTTAAAAGCATAACTAATTATATCCTTGGTCCACTGCATCAACCAAAATTATGAAAAAAAAACTTTATGAACATTTGTGGGAAATGATTTTCCTTCCTCAGGGCAAACTTCATCATGGTAGAGATAGTTTACTTTACCAAGTAGCAACAGGTATTTGTAGTATTAACTAGAAAGACTGAAATGTTGCTTTCTACAAGCCCATATCTTAGGTCTTAGTTTTGTTAAGATAGTACACGTGTAGAGTAGGAACCTCAGTAATATATTCATGCATGTCACTATTTAAGTATCAACATAATACCTATAAATGTTCAACCTGAGCAAGCATGGAACTATGGATCAATGCTCCATTCTTAAACTAATAACAGAATAATAAACTACTTGCTATTCAACCAGATATTCATGTATGGAAATAACAAACAAAATAGCTACACACAACCCTAGGGGTTACTCTTCACCATCTCTGTTTAGTCAAGAACTGAAGGTACTAATTGACTTTCTTTGTGGTTGCCCAAAGAATGATGATGTTACTTACAAACCTACACAAACCATTGCCCGAGAGCTTTTTAAGACCCTTTCAGTGAATTTGCTTGCGACAATCTGAATTCATATACAAAATAAGATTAAGCTGTGTGAGTGATCATGTCCTCTTGCTCTTTCTTATGCTCAATAAATGTGTATTTCTGATTATTTACTGGGATTTACTAGATAATATGGTTCGTGTTTATATTTTGTAATATTTTAAAATGAATAATTTGACATAAGTACAACAAGAAAGGTTATTCAATGGGTAAATTAACTTTGTCACCCATTTAAAGTGAATCAAATACCTTAAAGCTCCTAAAATCAGATCTGTTTCAAAAAGTAATATTTGATAAAATAGGTTAGAACATTAATAAATATTAAAGTAGAATTATAAGTATAACAATATTTAGTCATAATCAATGGCCTTTTGTTATTTACATTGCCAAAATCAATACAGCTCATGGTTAAAAATATGATTTGAAATACAGTAACAGGATGGTTTAGAATGGTGGAATCCATTTAGCATTACCAGTTAAGTAATAAAAAAAAAAGCTTTAACCAAATCTCAAACACAATTTTCATATCCATTCTGAATTTTGTTTATCCAAGTATTTAGTGTGAAGCTTTGGATGTAAAAACATTTTGAGGAATGTTGTTGTATGAAAACATAGAATAAAAGCCTTTTAGGCCTCAAGTGGACAGAAACTTTCAAATAAATGATTGGGTGACAACACGTCTCAGAAGCAGTGGCAGTGCTTACCGTGATTTACTACAAACATTGAAACTGGAAATAGCACGTTTCTTGGTGGAAACCTAATAGATGGCTATTAAGAACTCAGTGCCTTACAGCATCTAGTCGGGTCATCCATCAAGGAGTGGGGAATCAGTTACAGAGCATGAAGCAGAACTTATTTGTGTAGTATTAGCTAGTTTAATTTATATAATTTCATTACTTTTCACTTATTTATTACTTATAGTTTTTGTTTTGAGGATTAATTTCTTTTCTTTATAAGCTTAGTATGTAGCTTTAAGACTAACCTAAATCTCCCAAGCTGATGAACCCTGTGAAATATCACTGGGATATATAACTGAAAAGACTAATAACAGAAAGTGTGCCCAACTGTTGAATCAATACATTCTAAATATATTACCTGTCTTGTGAAATTGCATTCTCCTATTTGGGCTGGTATATTAAACTTAACGGGTTAATTTTTAGTTCCAATCTACGTAGATAGTTTGCTTTGACCAGAAAATATTGGTAATGAACTGTTCAGTGAAGTTAATTATGCAATTTTACAATAAATTCCTATCTTGTTATATGTAGTGTTTGAGTCACAAGAAAAGTAATGCTGAAATACTCTATGTAATTTCAACAACAGTTAAAAATTAACTGAAAATAATGTACGAGTTATTTTTTTAGTTAATGAATCATTTCTTCAAATTTAGTGAATCCACCACACCTGAAGGCAACCCATTATAAAAGTCAACCATTCTGTTTGAAAAATGTCTTAGATGAAGACTATTCTTACCTTGCCAAAATCTATAGTTGTGTACCCATGTCCTACCATTCTTTGTTGGAGTCCATAACTTTACACTACAGTATATGAGACCAGATGTATTTGCCATGTGGTATATAGTGCAAAAGGTTGATTTCAGTTACAGAAGAAATTGTGATGAAACATCATAAAAACAACTAAATATTATTTTTATTTGCTTCATGAACTCTTGTATTTAACAAAACTTTTCTTATACCACTGATAATTGGTCAGTCAAAAACCATGTGTTTAAAAGTCACTATCCTGAAATAGAACATTTGTTACTTTACATAAAAATTGACATCATTTTGTTATTGACTTATTTTCTTTAAAGTAAAAATTAATTTTGGTATTGTATAAGGTAGGATAACATGTAAATTAAATACTTTAATCAGAAGAAACAGAGTGCTTAGGAAACTTAACTTTTTCACAAATTTAAAATCAATTACTGTAAAACAGGTCAAGCATGTGACATTAATGATGTTGTGTTATTCATTCTTAAACTCAAAAATCTGATTTGTAAATATAGAGCACCTATACTGCTACTATGTCTGTAGTATCTCAGCTGGCCTGATAAAGCTTGTATTGAGCAAAAGGCCTTGTAAGCACTGGTTATAGAAGATATAGTTGACATATAACATTTTATTCTTTGCTTTTGCCCATAAGTTTTTAGAATTTTACTTCAAAATAACATATTTATCTTACATGAACAAGAATAACAGAGAACACTTAAATTTTCGAAGTTTTACTATTTCTATTAATGCAAATTTTTTAAATGAAATAAAAACATACAAATCCTAATATGACTATTATCTTTAGATATTTTCTGAATAGATGTATGACATATAATGACAGTAATAATATTCATATAATTTCTGTGTTTATAAATTATGAGCAATTACAAGTAGAAACCTCTCAATAAATTAAATTATGAAAATACATCATGGTAAAGTTTTATTTAGTATTTTCAACAGATGCATCAAAAGGTTAAAAGAACAAGTTAATCCAATCATAAAGATCAAATATCACAAATCAGATTGTTACTTCAGAATGTAAATTTTGTGATTTGGAAATCACAAAAACTTTTAGTCCTTTTTTATGTAGTTATTACAAAAATAATCACAATAAAACTGCCTGTAAGCAGGAGTGTGGAAAAGAAAAATGTATTTGTTTTTACTTGCTGGAAAAATTTGTTTTTCATTGAAAAGTGTAAAGACATGCAATAAGTGTAAGATGTTCAAGAATAAACTTTGGATGTTGTGTGAGCAATGCTGACATTCCATTATATGAAAATACCCAATTGTGACTGCAATGATGGAATCGTAATTGTTAGAACATTTCAAAGTAGTGAAAAAGAAAATTAATACTGAAATTGATGACTCAAAGTTATATATGGCAATATTTTTTTTTAAAAATCTTCTTACAACAAGGATCTAATCAACTAATCTGCTGGAAAAGGTACAAATTACAACATGTTGTCTGATTTTAAATTTCCATCTTTTGATTCTGTGAATTGGTTTTGTTCATTTCAAATATTTGTGCAAAGCTAAATTAGGGCTATCTGGACTAGGCATATCTAATTTTGAACTAATAGAGGGGAAGGCAGCTGGTCAACAGCATCAAATGCTAGCTCTTGAGCTACTCTAATGAAATAGTAGGATTTGACTATCACTCTTATAGCTATGATCTCAAAGTGGATAGTGAGATTTTACAACAATAAGACACAAACTATAGACCCTCAATGCTGTACACTAACTAACAGATCATACCATTGATTCTGTGAGAGTAAATACTTCAACTTACTCATTTGAACAGATATAAATTAAAAAACAAGAATACTGTTCTTTGAAACTAATACTATGGGCAAAACCATTTGACCATTATATACAAATGTAACATATTACAGTTCAAAACAGACTTTTACATATGCAGTATTGCCTCTTGTTTAGGTAAGGATTAACATTTTCTAGTATGTGTACTGGGGTGATGAATACTAATAACATAAGTTATTCAATACAGTTTAAATACATTTAGGTTCACTGTTTCAGAAAAGTACTGACAAAATGTTTTAAGAGGATCTATAGGTTTTAGCAAGTGTTAATTTATATTCAAAAAAATTTAGTAACAGTAATAAACCATCCACCAATTAATGATGCAATAAAGCATTCTCTTTCTCACTTTCTTTAAATTGGACATGACCTAAGTTGACCTTCTGTCACTATATTATTTTATATTTTCAATTATATACCAATGTTAACCAATTTCATACAATACTAGCAAGTTATTTCATAAGTCCACTTAAGAAAATTACAGTACATACATCAAACAAATAAAAAAAATTACAATAAGTTATATATGGCTTAGAACAACCACATAATTTATATTTGTTCTCAAAGAAAAAATAACTTTAACTAATTGTCTATAAGCATGTTACTGAAATACTAAATAAATAAATGCTTTCTTTATAACTCTGTGTGGTGAAAAAGTTATTAACAACACTTTGTAAATAACGAATAACCACCCTATTGTGACTTAAGTGATTTTGCAAAGATAGTGAGACTTTTCTTACATTTTGTGGTAAACAGTTGTATAACATAAAGAGAATAAAAAATTAACAACAGATAAAATTTAATTGTATCTTTAAAATACAGACTACAAAATGATTTCCTTTCATGACAAAATGGCCTTTATGTGTGAAGTATTATGCAGTTAAAAACAATAGGCAGATGTTAAATATTATTTTAAACATTGTCTAGTTTTTCAATAAAAACATTAACTCATCTCCAATCCTTGAAAAGTAGGAATAAGTACTAAATGATAAACATTACATGGTTTATTGCAAATTTATATAAGAAACTTCAAAATCTAAAAAAGAAAATTAACCATTCCTACATATCTTGTTTTAAAAAAATAATACATAATTGTTAAAACTTTTAAAATCATTTAAAAAGATGTGTTAGCAGTAGTATGTGATGTGAAAACTAATAGCTCCGGTGACATAAACAGTACAGTTAGGTTGGATAGTGTCACTTTTTATTTTCCATTTGATACATACCCTCAACCTTTACTAACTACAAATTTCATATTAAATCTACAAATGTGTCTTAGCCCTTTTGAGCTACAGTCTTACTAAATTAAACCTACAATAAATAAATCATGTAAATGGGTGTCTCTGGCTTCTTCCAAAGTTTCCCAAGGTACTATATTGCTGGTAATTTTTATATTATTAAATTATATTTATTATTATTATTATTATATTAAAGTTTAATATGTACAGGATAAGTTGGGACAGATCTACTTTTTCAATACTACAATTAAAATTATAAACAACAGCTTGTTTTAATTTAACTTTCTTTGCTGAATAATTATCGGGCCATTCAGTTTTTGTACTTATTTCAACTTTCAATGTAACATTTTATAAAATGGAAAGTCCTCAGATCATAGTCATTTTTCTAGATTAAATGTCAAATCAGACCAGTTAGATCCTGATATCTTTCTGTAAGAAAGCTCAGTCGAGACAAAGCAAAGATAAAATAAGGCATAAAAGATAAAATTAGATTGTTATACCATTAAGACTTAATGATTTTTCTCAATAGAAAAGGATTGGTCTACATTTTAAATTTTCTCAAGGGTGGATTTCCAAGGATAACCTTGAAGGTCTTAAGGGTTATCTTATTACAGAAATAAAATATTTATATATATATATATTTTTAACATTACAACCTATAGAAATAAACCATTCAAATGTACAAGATAATATTAATCATGTTGACCATGTTAGTCAACTTGATGGTCCGATGTCAAAAGGTGCTGTCAGTGGAGGCTCCATAGAAGTGCTCAACTCTGATGGTGAAGGAGACACTTCCTGAGCTGGACTAATAGCTTCAAAACCACCACCTAAACTGAAAGGTGATGGATTTGTTGATGGCATCTCTGCCCCAAGCAAGTCTAATTCATCTGCAGGTGAAACTGTTCTGGACCCTTCTTCTTGAGTTTTATCATCTGTTCCTGCTTCTGACTTCTGACTACTTCGATCACTGCTGTTATCTAGTAGTGCTGCTGGCCGAGTCCGCTTTTTCCCTTGTATGTCTGTACGCATGGTCTGCATGGCAATCTTCATTTTTTGAATGATGTATTCTGGCACAGTAAACCCAACTATCTGATTCACCATGACACCAGGATTATTCCGATACTCGTCAGATTCTGCTAATTCCCATATATCATCCAAAATCATCATATAGGCTTTCCCTCCAGTAGCAGGCATCAAATTGTTTTCATGCAGCCACTGTTTGTCTTCTTGGTCCCCAGAATACTTAAAAAGTTCAGCATGTTTGATATACAACTTGCCACGTGTAGCTCCAAATCCAAGGGCTTTATTTGCCTTAGCACCCATAATGAATTTTGTATCTGGTGTTAAACGAATAGGGTCCCATTTTGGTCCTTCTCGTTTCACTGTGTCTCCAGCCTTCATTTTAACAGGGGTACTACGTCCTGACTGTCCACCTTGAAAATGAATTGGTGGTCTACCTTTTTTCTTTTTTGGCTTGGGCATAGGGAGACTTGCTTCAGAATCAGTGTCAGACTCTTTGCGTTTTCTTGAAAATGGGCTTCTTTGTGATGCTCTGCACATTTTTGCATCTCTTGGATAGTGGTTTTCAGAATCAGAATATTCTGCAGCTGGACTATTCCCTCTTGAATGTATCCAATGGTACATTTTCTTGGCTTCCTCCAAAATCTGACGACATACATGTTGAACATGTTGCTCAGATACAGAATTTTCACCATTGTTAATTTTTATGTTTTCAATTCCAGGCCTAAAGAATTTTTCTAAATATTTCTGTAATATTTCATCAATTTCTCTGTTGATACTTTTCTGAATATTTTGCCTTAACAAGTCAAGAGATTTTGCTGGACTAAAAGTACAACCAAGTTTTGCCCTATTTATTGCCACAGTTTGAGACCTGTAGCTAGTTCTATAGGTCGTACCTGAGTTTGCTTGAAAATTAGCTAAATTATAAGGCCTCATATTGAAAACATTTTCACGTTTCACAAATGTGTCGGTATGATTATAGAAAACTGATTTAGGTTGAGTAACAGAAATCCTTGTACCTGACAAATGTTCAACAGCTTTTTCATAGCTTCCATGAACGTCAGTATTTAAAAAGCCCATATTTTCACTAACACTAACATTTGTCAAAGAATTTCCAGACCTGTGTATCAACTCTGTCTCCTTTCTTTCATCTCCTGAAGGTGAGTAGACTCTAATTTCTGGTATTCCTGCAATATTTGCCATCTTTCCGTTGAAATGTAGTTAGTAATATAATAACCTTTATTATTCAAATAACGAACACCAATATTAACATCCACTAGAAAATTAGGCTAAACAACCTCTAATGATTTCGTTCAACTCTACCAAGAAAGCTCGTATCTTATTATACATCAAAGCTGACGTTATTCGCTAGTTCAGCGGCTGTATATACGTTAAATGTAACAAAACATCATATAACAAGTTTCAAAAATGTATAAGTATGCGAATTTTTAAAATTCATTTGGACGAAAAATTTGTAACTCATAACTGTTGTTATCTGAAATATATACAATTTTCTCCAACGTTTTTGTTTGTAGCATGTTCATGTCGTTAATTGAATATTAAAGTTATTTAAGGGTGTGTTTTTTCATTGTATTTAT